TTGGTTTACTTTTTCAAAAAATAGTTTTTAATTTTTAAAAAAAATTGTAACACATTTATTGCTTTGGTTTGAGAGATATTTAATTCGCCCAAATGTTTCATCTTCTTAGTTGTGTAATATTTACTTTATTGCTTTGTTGGTTTACGCTGATTTATAAGCATTAATTTGTAAGATTATTAAATGCAACGACCAAAATTTTAAATAATTGATTATTTTACATTAAAAAGAATATTATTGTACATAATAAAATATGAAAACTAATGAATTTATATATTCTCATTGAAGAACATAGATTCTCCTTATCAATCTCTGGAAACAACACAAGTACATTTTTAATATTATAAATATTAAAGTGGAATTTAATTATTCTCATCCAAGCATTCTTCTTTTCCTTAACAGCACAGTAGAACGTAATATGCTATTCAATTTCACTCTACATAAGCAATCTCATGTTATCATAACAATCAATTCGATGCTTGCCCTTTATATCATCATGAATGCTTTCATCAAGTGCATTTTCATTGCTACTGCTTATCCTTAAGCTTTACTGATCACAGGATGCAACCCAAATTGTTTTAGATTACACTAATTTGTGTCACTAAGAATATAATAAATCTTAAGCTACAAGGCTGAACAAAGTAGAAGGCATATTTATGTTCTACTAACTTTGAAATAAAAAATTATTTTGCACTCTACGCCTTTCCATTTTAAGATAGACGCAGATAATGCTCATGTTATAAAGCGAAAATCCTATAGCAGCCCTGTACTTAATTTTCCTCATGGAAAGTAATGCCATATCACTGAAGTTTAAGATGTGAACATTCTCTAATCTAACTAAAGTTCTTATCACATGGTACAGTCATTATTATTATTATTATTGCTTTTATTTTTCTCATCCTAAAGATGCTGCAAGTTGCCAAGTTAAGCAAAAACTCAACAATATTTAAATAGCAGTATTTTAATCAAAATAATAAAACAGTTACATAGAAAAGAAATCTCCAGCTGGAAGCAATGCATATATGCTCCTTTGTTATGAAAGAGAAAGAAGAAAGTGATGAGAGAAAATAAAGGCAAAAGCTTAATGAGGGTGACAGTGGGAAGTTACAAAACGGCTTTGTTTTTCTATAAAAAGATAACACTTGGCGCGACCTATACTTGAGGGCGAAATATTTGGAGCTTGGAAACCTCACATGCACTATCACTCGTCTCTATATATGGTAGTAGCATCACCTCTTGAACTGTGTTGTTATTCATTGAGCTGAAACAATGGCAAGAACTTCCTCCATTCTTTTAGTTTCTTTTTACTCCATCATACTCACAGGTAATACTATTTCCTCTTCTTCCTTCTCTTTGATTATTTTTCTATTTGTAATAGAACTTTTGATACACTCGGAATGATATCATTCTCTTTCTTGCACCATGTAATTCATTATATGTAATACAGTGTATATAATTAGTGCCGTGATTTTTGTACTTAAGGTTTAAGAAGGAAACATTTAATAACAGGAATTGTGACTTAACCTTAAATGCTGGATTTAACCATTAGTTGTATGTAAGAATCTCTCTAGTCCATCCAATGCTATAAAATTTCTAAGCATTTTTCTCTTGTTAATTGTTGTAGATGGGGCTCAACTCATTTTAGTGAACAATTGTGGGGAGAGTGTGTGGCCAGGGATACTTGGAAGTGCAGGGCAGCAAACTCCAAAAGATGGGGGGCTCCATCTTGGAAGTGGTGAGGAAATAGTGCTTGATGTGGCAGAGAAGTGGTCAGGGAGAATTTGGGGAAGGCAAGGCTGTAGCTTTGACAATGATGGAAATGGCCACTGTCTCACAGGTGATTGCAATGGGAAACTACATTGTGGAGGGAAAGGAGGGGTGCCACCAGCAACAGTGGTTGAAATGACACTTGGATCCTCCTCTTCACCTCTGCATTTCTATGATGTGAGTTTGGTGGATGGCTTCAACTTGCCTGTTTCTATGAAGCCTGTTGGGGGTGGAATTGGGTGTGGAGTGGCTTCTTGTGAGGTGGATTTGAATGTTTGTTGTCCATCAGCACTTGAGGTGAAGAGGAATGCTAAGGTTGTGGGGTGCAAAAGTGCATGCTTGGCTATGCAATCAGCAAAGTATTGCTGCACAGGGAATTATTCTGACCCAAAAACTTGCAAGCCTACCCTTTTTGCTCATCTCTTTAAGGCTATATGTCCTAAGGCTTATAGTTATGCATATGATGACTCTAGCAGCCTTAACAGATGCAGGGCTCCAAGGTATGTCATCACTTTCTGCCCACCTCCACTGTAGCAGGAATCCAGATGACAAAGTGAAGTTGTTGAAACTGCGGTTGTAGATTGCAAAGATTATCAGTCACTAGTCATGGATTGTTTTCTTGATATTTTAGTATTTTCTTCTATCTTTAATTGACATAGTTTTTGTTATTCTAAAAGAAGGGTAGATTGATAATAAACAGCATTTGACATTTTTGTTCTTACTGTTGATGATGCTGTCATGTATGAACTTATATTATCTAATTTACTTGGGAATATTTAGTTGTAGCTCAAAAGCTACACATTTTACTTGTATTAAAGCAAAAATGGGCAGCGTCATTTGCAAGCTACATTAAGCAAAAGTTACGGGCAACCATGTACAAAATTAAAATGAATAAAGAATCTAGGAATGTTGAACCCTCCCATTGTGTATCTTACTAGCAAATTGCAAGCATGAACTTGCTTGGATTCTGTTGCTGCATTTCTTTCCTCGAATGTGGGTTAAAGATAGATAGCATTTCAGTTCATAGTCAGCACATGAAAGCTTTTGTTCATCAAAGTTTTAGAAGATTTAGTGCAGAAAATAAGAATCCACTATGTTGGATGAAGTACAGCTCTTCATATGCGTTAAAAAAAATAGTATATTCACACAACAAAAATGTTACCCAAATCATTACAACTACAAACCTTGAACTTGTAAACGTGAAACATGCATTTGTGCAACCGGTATGGTACCAAATAATGATGGAAATTGCAAAGAAAAGGGCCTACATGTTAAGAGACATGAACATAATGCTAGATAAAGTTATCATTTTAAAAATTAAAAGAAAAACTCAAATTATAAAATGAAAAAATAAAAAATCAATAGAAAGGAAAGGGGATCCATCTTCTCTGAATGTTATGATATTTACAAAACCGGTGGACATTCCTACAAGTAATTGTTTTACAGAAAACTTATGTCCTATTCTCTTATAATATTTTATGGCGAAAAAAATTAGAGAAACCGAATATGAAAATCAGTAGGTGTGTTGCACCATGACATTGCAGGCGTCAAGGAGACTAGGAAATGCAAACTAAACGAAATAAAAAAATAAAGAACAGTAATTTACTTAGAAAAGGGTAATTTAATCTTTTTTGATATCTAAATTGTTTCTCATAATTCTATTAGTTAGATTCTATATAATGGAATACATGCATCATTCACATTCCTCGACAATGTTAATTCTGTGATAGATTTTTTTATTTTTTTTATAGTATTGGTTAAAAAACTAATAAATAAAAATTGTTATGATATATTACAAATTACGAACATAGGTGCATTTTTATGTTTTCTAAGAAAATATTTAGACTTTTTGTTATTTAACCAGGGCCTAATTAACATTTTCCTTTCTTCTTTTCATTTGAGATTCTTAATATTTGGATGTTACTCTGGATCTCGTTTAATTCAAGTGCAACAAAATAGCCCTCACGATTTTATGAGAGTGAAAATCCCTTCAACATTATCTCCACTATATTGGATGTAAAACTTTTGGTATGAGTCATGTGGTATCATTACTTTTGCATTTCGGGTAGCCTCATTGTATGCAAGGCTTCATGTTATTATCAATTTACTATCCTCCCAGTAAGAAATATGTCAAAATGAGGATTCTGTCTTAGATCTGCCAAGAATTTTTATGATTAAAATAAGAAAGGAGGGAGGGGAACATCTTCATCATATCATGATGCTACGATCTTTTTTAAGGATATATTTGGTATGTTCTGTCCTAGGTTGTTCAATGTTGGAAAATAGGAATTATTCTTCACCATGAGACGATTCTCTAAAGAAGAGGATACAGAATAGCATTTCACATTTTTGCTTTAGTGTTAAGGACGTTTTGCCACATAGTTTAATCTATTTTCAATTACGTGGGATATTTGGAAAGCAAATACAACTGAATTTATTATAAGGTAACTGATACAACACAACACACCCTGCAAACTGTAGATTATAGATGGAATCATGGAAGCTTCTGAATGAAGACATTTCAAATAGTGACATATAACTAGTTAATGCAACTGAAGAACAAAATTTCTGATGATGGGCACACCATTAACCCGTTTTTGTTGAGAATATTAACAGTACCAGATTTGAAAATATGATAGCTCCATTTATTTTGAAGTTACAAAATCAATTCTCCCACTTTTCAATGAATAACATCCGTATTAAGATTAATTTAGACACAGCCCAATTACATTTAATAGTTTTTTTTTTTCTTGCCCAACTTTAAACCAATTAGGCACTTCAGCCCATAGGTAAAAATGAAGCATCGAGTGTCAGATTTTAATTTGAGGACCACTATCATATCACTAAGAGACAATAGTATTGCTTTGCCACCTTGTATTAATATAAAAATGCTGCAACTAAACTATTTTTCTTTCTTATGTTGCAACTAAACCATTCTTCTTTCTTTCTTTGACCTGGCTTTAAACATGTTCCTGCTAACCTAAGCAAGTTTATTTCCTTTGGAACCTCCAAAGTCCAAAGGGTAGCTGCAATAGATCCAAACAATATGGTCAAATGGGCTATAAAATAATCTCCATGATTATGCAGCTAATTGGATTTAACCAAGTAGAGGGATTATTATTTTTTGGGAACATAAACATTCCCTCACTAACCAATAAAAAGGCTGTGCATATACGTAGCTATCCACTTAAAACAAAAGTCAAATATCAAAGATAACAATCTTAAGAAGATCAAAGATGAGTCTCAATGCAGATGATGAGTTAGTGAATCAGATGGAGGAAACACCCACTTTTGCTTCATCTATACCAGTACCCAATGTTCAAGAAATGGTGAAAAATAATCCTTTGCAGGTGCCTGAAAGATACCTGAGGAGTCAAGAAGAAATGGAGAAAGTCAACAATAAGCCTCACCTTTCATCTGAGGTCCTTGTCATAGATCTAGCACTGCTCTCCTATGGGAACAAAGAGGAGTTTCTGAAATTGGACATAGCATGCAAGGAGTGGGGTTTCTTCCAGGTAATTCTTGACCAACAACAGAATTGTGAATTACATACAAAAATAGACGAGAAAAATATGCACAAAGAAATATTTCACCTATACAACAACATGAAACAATAACAATAACAGGTGTAACAAGTTTACAGTAATACATTGACTGTTAGAGAAAAAGTATGAAAAAACATTTATGTGGCTTCACCTAATTATCTTAAGCTTTTGGTATAGTTAGTTCATGACATAGTGTCAAAGCCTTTGTGACCAATTGGTCTATAGCTTCATACTTGCCAACTTTATTATTCTAGTACAAAGTTGAATTTCAGCACCGGCAAGTGAACTTGTGCATTGGCACACTTCACGCCCAAAAGCTCTTGCGTAAGAATGCATGTTAAGAATATAACGTAAAACCATCCATGTAACCTCAATGGCTTATGCTTTTGTATGCCATTACTTTTGCAGATAGTAAATCATGGCATACAAAAAGAACTTCTGCAAAAAATGAAAGATACAACAGCTGAGTTTTTCAAACTTCCAATAGAAGAGAAGGAAAAGTATGCAATGTCCGCGAATGACATACAAGGTTATGGGCATGCTTATGTAGTTTCTGAGGAGCAGATACTAGACTGGTCAGATGCATTGATTTTAATCACTCACCCCACCTTGTACAGGAAGCTTCAACATTGGCCTCAAACACCAGAGGGATTCAAGTAGGTAATCTTGACAGTTAAAAACTATATACAAAACTTGTGATCAGTTAATGAAATTCACCTACTAATGCAGGGAGATAATAGATGCATGTTCAAGTGAAGTTAAAAGAGTTGGTGAGGAACTGCTTAGTTATTTGTCAGTGATTATGGGCATGCAGAAGCATTTTCTTCTTGAACTACATAAATTATCACTTCAAGGTATACGTGTGAACTACTACCCTCCTTGCAGCACACCTGAGCAAGTATTGGGTTTGAGTTCACACTCTGATTCAAACACCATCACCTTGCTTATGCAAGATGGTGATGTATCAGGGCTAGAAATTCGACACAAAGGAGCATGGGTACCAGTAGCCCCAATATCTGATGCTATACTTGTCAATGTTGGAGATGTAATGGAGGTGCTTGAATTATCATTTTAGTGAGCACAAGGAAAACACTTGTAATTGGAAGGCTCTAAAGTAACTTTGGGAATTTTGTTTTAGAAAATTTTTTTGGTATTTATTTTTAATTTATTTATTTCCTGTTTATACAGAACTGTACAGGAAACGCTGGAAATAATTTTCTTTTGTTTTTATTTATGCAAATCTATGAGAAGCAGAAAGCAGAATGAAAATAAAGAAATAGTTTTGTAATTGAAAGTAAAAACAGGAAATAAAAACACAAAACAATTTATAAACCAAGGAGTGCTTTAGTTATCCAACTTCTAAGTTTCTTTCTTTGAAATCATGGCAGATATTGAGTAATGGGAAATACAAGAGTGTAGAGCACAGAGCAGTGACAAATAAGGACAAGGAAAGGACTTCTTATGTGTTTTTTCTGTCCCCAGGGGATGATGTCGAAGTTGAACCCCTTGATCATATGATTGATGCTCAAAACCCCAAGTTGTATCAGAAAGTCAGGTATGGAGATTATTTGAGGCAATCCATGAAGAGAAAAATGGAGGGAAAAGCACACACTGAAGTGGCAAAGATAAAGGATTCTTCTGATCTGAGGAATAAAACTGATTAAAAAAAGGTCCATTTTGAGAAAATGAGAAAAGAAGAAAAGTTTGAAGTACTCCCTCAAGTTATTTTTTATGTTGGTTGTGTCAGTTGTGTTGATATAATACATTAATACATAATAAATATCACGAACATCATGTTCAGTAGAGTCTCTGCTTAATACAAGTCCTTGTCACTGAAATTTAGATTTCATTCTAATCCAACTTTGGTAATTGCTGTTATTTCTACAAAATCTTGCTGGAAACACCCAATAATCAAGGAATATTGAATTACCAATTTTCAGTTAGCTTTCAGGTTTCATCATACTGATATATATTTATGAAATGCAGCCTTAAAGTCCCAAACCCTTGCACATTTCAGAATAAACATATGCACATAACATTAGTTGGAAGAAAAGTTTTCCACCTATTACCACTTAGCAGTAACGCTTCTGTGATTTGGTTGCAAAGCATGATCATTTTATTTTGCAGAAGTTTGTCTGTTACTTGCAAAGCTGTTTTGTCAAGATTATAAAAATAGTCAAAAACTGAAAATAATATGATCTAACTTTCTTCAAAAAGTTGTTTTGAATAGCTTACAGAAAAAAAAAAAAAATTATAACTATCCATTAAAATAAAAACTACTTTTAATAATTTTAACCAAACAAAAAGTAACTTCTATTTTTCAAAAATTCAAAAAATTACTCTCTTGAAAAGTTGAAATAAGCAGCCTAAAACTAATTGATTAAAGCATTGTATTTGGTCTTTGGAAACACAATTAGAGCAGAGAGTCTCTACATGGAGCTACAATTAGCCAGTGATTCACATGCAATACGTGAAACTTGCCTGTACCACAAAAAGATTAACGACCCTATATATCAAACATCTCCAATTCATCATCAAGTTGATCATACCCATCCAATTTGCCACATTGTTTAATCTATTTCAATTACTTGGGATTGGGAACGGTTGGCTGCTCGCTTTGTACATTCTATATGAGAATTTGGAAAGCAAATCCAAATGCATTTATCATAAGCTAGCTGCTACACAACACAAACTTCAAACTGTAGATTATAGATGGAATCATGGAAGCTTCTAAAAACATTTCAAAGAGTGACACATAACTAGTTAGTGCAACTGAAGAAGTTTTTTCCTTTTTTTTTAACAAAATAGTGAGCACACCTTTAAACTGTTTTTGCTGAGAATATTAATGATACCGGATTTTAAAAGATGGCTTTTGTTTTGTGTTGCACTGGTACTTCAAAAATCATCATATATGCCTTCTGTATTCGTATCCGATTATCGATACGCATTTGTATTTACTGGGTACTGCACTTGCTTGTGGATTTTGAGCATTTGTTGATGATGTTATCTCCCAAAGATGATCACATTAGGTTCTTCTTTAGATGTTTTAAGTAAACATTTTAATCTTGTTTTAAAATTTTATAATTTTTTTTTACTTAGGATCAATTATTTATAAAAATTATATTAGTTAATTATTAGTGTGATATTTTTAATATTTTATATTTTTAAAAAAAATTTATTTTAGAGTTTTTTTTATAAAGTTTTTATTTGACTAAAATTTGTTCTAAATTATCTATCATTATCTTATATAATACATATAAATAGAATTATATCTTACTTAAGATATATTATCGTATCCGTATCTTAATATTTTAAAATTTTGTTATATTTACAATGTTATATCGTATGCAATAATCTTACCATACAACATAGCTTCTGCCGCTTTTGTATTAAAGTTAAAGAAGAATCATTTTCATATTTTTTAAATTAAAAACACACCTTTCAGATTATTTTTCACACACTCTATCTTTCATGCAATAGAACTTTGTCGTTTATACTGATTATCCTACTCAGAATCTTCAATTTAAAAAAATATATTTATGATCTAGACCAAAAAAATTAATTTTGCCATACTTTTCAAATTCAAAATTAATTTTATCCAATTTTAAAGTTAACAAGCACAATATCACAGAAAATGTGTAAATTAAAGGACTGGTTTTTCTTTCTAGAAAAAAAAAAAATAGTAAGATTTTTCATCATCCAATCCGATTTAAACCGCAAAAATTAATTGAAAAACTGAAAATCGTAAAAAAGTAAATTAGATTAAATTTGTATCAATCCAATCCAAACCGAATTTATGTGTCTATACATAATTTTATTTATAAAATTAACATCTCACTCATGCTTTTAAGATTATATATTAATAAAATTATAATACTTAACCATATTTTATCATTTTACTTTTAAATTTATACCATATTATTTCTTAGGAATATACTTTGCTATTTTCATGATTATATAAGTATTTTTTTTAGAATAACCTAAAATTATTTTTGTATATCATATTCTTTATATAAATTTTATATTTTATATAAAAAAATTAATTTTATTTTAAAAATAGTGTAAATGAAATAATAAAATAACTTATTTATTATTTTTAAGTAAATTAAAAATCAAATTATCTAATCTAATTCAAGCCAATTAAGATTAGACGAGATTGGATTGAATTTATATTTTTTACAAGCCAATCTAAACTGAAGTGCGTTATGTAACGCCCCAAACTTTGTAATATTAATTTTGATAATTATATATATTTAAATGTACATTCATGTGTATGTATGTATGTATATGTATTTATGTGTATGCATGACTAGTTGGGCTGAGTGCAGGGCGAGATATTGTATGTCCTGCGAGAGGATTCTCGCTGTAGTGAGAGAGCCCTAGAAAGAAAGACCAGAACTGTCGCCTTATCGCTGTAGCGAGAGAGCGACAGTCTGGGGTGCATTTCTGGGTGCAGTCTCGTTGTAGCGAGAGGGTCTCACTGTAGCGAGATTCTGCAGAAACCAGAGTGCAGTTTTCTCTAGTTTTTTCGCTATAGCGAGAGGACGTGTTGTTGCAGCGAGGAGACCTGTCGCTGCAGCGAGAATATCTCGCTATAGCGAGAGTGTCGCGACCAGAAAATGATTTAAAGGGGGTTAGGGTTTGAGGAGAGTTATTTCTCCCTCTCCCTTCGATCCTCTCATCCCCAAAACCCTTTTTCATTGATTAATTGCCTCCAAAGCCGTTCGAGAGCAAGATTGGATCTCGAATTTGTGTGGAGAACGCTTGGAGGTGAGTTTTAAACGGTTAGGGTTTCAGTTTTCCTTCCCTTTCTCTGATTTTGGGTGATTTCTGGGGTTCTCATGGAATTCTCCCATGTATTTAGGCCGAGATCTGTGTGGGGAACACTCCCGTGGTCGACTTTGAGCGTGGGTCTTCAATTCGAGGTAAGGGGAGACTCTACCCTACTCGTGCCATATAATTGAATGAATATTGTGTGAAAATGTGGGTCCAAGTGCCGTGTAATATGAATGAAAATAGGTTAGAGGCCGTGTGTCTTTAATGAATTATGGGCTGTGTGCTGTGGAAATGAAGTGTGGGCCTAGGGCCATAACTGTTAAATGTGGGCTATGTGTCGTATATTGAAATGTGTGTGGCTGGGGCGTACAACGCCGTTATAATGTGTTGTGAATGGTTCAGCGATACACTGGGGGTGTGGGAGAAGAGGACGGTAGAAATATCTTGGGGAAGAGGGAGTGGTGGTGACACCGACTGTGGAACGGGTGCACCACAGGCCACACACTCTCTTCCTGACTAGACCTCTGATCTTTACCTTTGCTGAGCGACCCGTGACTGCCCACGTGGTATCCGTGAGGTGGGGGTAACCAATGACCATTCAGAGTATAAATCTGTGATCACAGTGTCAATGTGAGTGTGGCTGGCGTGTGTATGCATAGGTTCACGATTTGTGCTTGTGGACGTGATAATGTTGTCTGTGTCTATATTTGTTTAATGTATTGGAAATGTGCTGGAGGTGAGACTCTACGCTTAATTTTATGTTTTGGTAGTGTAGAGTACTCACTCTTACATTCATTTTTCAGGTAATCAAGACGATCAACACCTTTCTCAGTGAAGAGACGGATGGACTACTATAGGATTTAAATTTTATTTGAAATTTGTTGTAATTGAACTAATTTTGTAGCAGTTGTGTGATATTAATTTGTAACCCTTCACTTATTTCGAAATCTTTTATCAAAATCTGATTATCCGATTTACAAAATTATTATTTAATTAAAATTAAATTCAAGGTGTTACACGTTATAATTTTATAATCGAATTAAATGACTTTCTGAAAAAAAAAATTGATTCAATCTAATTCTAGAACACCCCTTAAAAAATGGCATCGGGTGTAAGATTTTAAGAACATTACTCTATCACCGAAAAAGACTAATATATTCCACTTGTATTTAATATAAACATGTTGCAAATAAACTATTTTTCTTGAAAATTAATAATATCGTTCCCTTGAATGAATGTGTTGCAAGTTGCAACTAATTAAACTATATTCTCGTTTCTTTCTCTCTGACATGACTTTGTACAAGGTTCCTGCTTACATAAGCAAAGTTATTTCCTTTGAATCCTCCGAAGCATAGCTCCAATAGATCCAAAACAAAGGCAAGTGGGCTCTAAAATAATCTCCATGATTGTGCATCTAATTGGATTGACCAATTAAAGAGAATTATTAATTTTGGGGAGATCAAGATTTCAAGATTCCTCCACTAACCAATAAAAATGCTTTCATATAGGTAGCTATATATCCACTTAAAACAAAAGTCAAATATCGAAAGCTAACAATCTTAAGAAGATCAAAGATGAGTACCCTCAATGCAGATGATGAGTTGGTGAATGAGATGGAAGAAGCACCCAGTCTTGCTCCATCTATACCAGTACCAAATGTTCAAGAAATGGTAAAGAATAACCCTTTGCAGGTTCCTCAAAGATACCTGAGGAGTCAAGAAGAAATGGAGAAAGTCAACTATAAGCCTCACCTTTCATCTAAGATCCCTGTCATTGATTTAGCGTTGCTCTCCTATGGGAACAAAGAGGAGTTGCTGCAATTGGACATAGCATGCAAGGAGTGGGGTTTCTTTCAGGTAATTCTTGACCAACTATAATTGTGAATTACATACAACGAAACTGTCCACTTCTACAACAACATCAAAAATTAGCAATAACAGGTGCAACTAGTTTAAAATAAATAATACATTCATTGTGTGAGAAATAATATGAAAAACCATTTATGTGCCTTCACTTAAATATCTTAGGCTTTAGTTTTGGTATGGTTAGTTCATGACATGGTATCAGAGTCTTTGCGACCAAGTGGTCTAGAGCTTGATACTTGCCACCGTTATTCTTCTAATTAAAGGTTGAATTTCAGCAAAGGCCAGTGAACTTGTGCACTGACACACTTCAAGCCAAAACGCTTGCTTGAGAGTGCATGTTAAGGGATATAAAACTATTAAAGATTAATCTATCTTCACCTAAATGGCTTATGCTTTTGGAACAGAATTAAGGTTAACAGTGTTGACATATCTTTGCAAAAAGTTAGATGTTTGCTTGGTTTTCTTCAAATGCTGCTTGAGATTGCATTTACTTTTGCAGATAGTAAATCATGGTATCCAAAAGGAACTTATGCAGAGAATAAAGGATGCAGCAGCTGAGTTTTTTAAACTTCCAATAGAAGAGAAGGAAAAGTATGCTATGCCTTCAAATGACATACAAGGTTATGGGCATGCTTATGTAGTTTCTGAGGAGCAGACACTTGATTGGTCAGATAGACTGATGTTAGTCACTTGCCCCACTTGGTACAGGAAGCTTCATCTTTGGCCTAAAACACCAAAGGGATTCAAGTAGGTAGTTTTAACAAATAAAAAGTATTCTCTTGTTGTATTTATAAAAACAAAATTACTAATAACTTTTTATCTTAATTATAAGAAAAATTATTTTTAGATATATTAATTATTAAATTCTTTTTATACCCTTTTTTATTGTTAAATTTATATTAACAAAGTACTCACTCGTTACCTATATAAATAAATATATTAATTCATTTATTATATAAGACACTAATTTGACAATTTAATATATTATACGAATATCTAAAAAATAGAATAAATTTATAGCATATAACAACTTTTTTTTATCTGATAAATTAAATATTTATTTCTTATAATTGTTTCTTGGAAATAGTACCAAATTAGTCAATGAATTCTTCTCCTAATGCAGGGAGATAATAGAGGCATATTCAAGGGAAGTTAAAAGAGTTGGTGAGGAACTGCTTAGTTATTTGTCAGTGATTATGGGCATGCAGAAGCATGATTTTCTTGGACTACATAAAGAATCAGAATCACTTCAAGCTATATGTTTGAACTATTACCCTCCTTGCAACATACCTGAGCAAGTACTAGGCTTGAGTCCACACTCTGACACAAGTACCATCACCTTGCTTCTGCAAGATGATGATGTACAAGGGCTAGAAATTCGACATAAAGGAGGATGGGTACCAGTGAGCCCAAAATCAGATGCTATAGTCATCAATGTTGGAGATGTAATGGAGGTACTTGAGTTAATTTTTAGTGAAAACATAAAGAGAACACTTGTAATAGAGAAGGCTTTAAAGTCATTTAATTAACTAACTTTAAGTTTCTTTGTTTGCATCTTGCAATCATGACAGATATTGAGTAATGGGAAATACAAGAGTGTAGAGCACAGAGCAGTGACAAATAAGGACAAGAGAAGGAGTTCCTATGTATATTTTATGGCCCCAGGGGATGATGTGGAAGTTGAGCCCCTTGATCATATGATAGATGCTCAGAACCCTAAGTTGTACCAGAAAGTAAGGTATGGAGATTATTTGAGGCAATCTATGAAGAGGAAATTGGAGGGAAAAGCACACACAGATGTGGCAAGGATAAGGGTCTAGTAAGGAATAAAATGTTTAAAGCACTTCCTCATGCTGATTTCCATGTTTGGTTTTTGACTGAGGAACAGGGCCATGCAGCATATATCATTGTTATAATCAGTGTAAAAGATAATTTTTTTTATAATTTAGAAATAATTTATGCTTCTTTGTAATTTTTTAGAAGTTATCTTATTTAACTGATCTGTAACATAAAGAAGTAAATTTATTTCTAACTTATAAAAAATTATTTATTTATTACATTAATTTCTTTTTCTATAAGATTTTTTTTATAATTTTATGAAACTGCATGTGTGAAATAAATAATAGAATAAGGATTTTTATTATTGTCCATGCTATGTGAAATAGTTAAATGTGTTAATGCGATAAATTAATACTTAATAAATATTATAATATATTTTATGTTGAGTCCGGTTAATGGAAATTCTTTTATTAATGTTCAGATTTTATTCTCAGTTAGAGATGAATATAGGTTAGGTTAGGACAAATCTCACTCTAAACAGGTCAGACTTATAACATAATTATTGTACTTAAATTTAACATGTTACTTGTTAAAGATTTTATTTTTGACTTGACCTATCCTGTTTGAGTACTTGACTTGGGCTTAAACCTGTTTACAAAGCCTACTGCAAAAAAATTTTTTAATACCAAACTTAGGTCAACAAACAAGTCAAATAGACCCAATCTAGTAAACATGTCATAAATAAAACGCGTGATAAGTTAAAAAAAATTATTACATATAATTTATTGAAAATTATATTATTTCTATTATTTGCTATACAGTTCTATTATTATTATTATTATTATATATTGCATATATAATTTCTTATTTTATTTTCTATATTTTTTATAAATTTTTTGTTTTGAATAAAATATATTCATATTTAAGCAATTTATATTTATTATAAATAAAAATAAGTATAATATAATATATTAATATAATAATTTAATAATTGAATATTAATAATAATACTAAGAATATAAAAATATATTAATATAATATTATTATTTTATTTTTAAATTTTAGTTCGTTTAGTTATGATTGCGTCTTATTTCTGTTGAAAGACTTAATTATTTTTTAGTTGTTTAAATGTAGCAAATATAATAATTTATTACTAAATAAATTTATTATTTAAACACATGTATAAATATTTTTAATTTTAAATAGAATATAATTTTTATTTATTATAAATAAAAATAATTATAATATAATTTATTAATATAATAATTAAATAATAGAATTAAGAATATAAAAAATAGATATTAATATAATATAATTATTTTATTTTTAAATTTTAATTTATTTAGTTTTAATCATGCTTGAAGACTTAATTACTTTTCAGTTTGTTCAAATGTAACAATTATAATAATTTATTATTTAAATATGTTTCTAAATATTATTAATTAAAATTTTTTATGTACAGTATCTTAAAAATTTTTAAGGATATCACAAAATTTATAAGGGTACCCTAAAATTATTTTTTATTCGTACCGTATTCAAAAAATTTATATAAAATAAAATAAAATACGTGGCAAGTTAAAAAAATATTATTAATTATAGTTTATTTAAAATTATATTATTTATATTATTTACTACATTATTCTATTATTATTATTATGGTATATTGAATTATTTTATTTTATTTTTATCATTTTTTTATAAATTTTTAGTTTTAAATAAAATATATTTTATATTTAAGCAATTTATATTTTTTATGAATAAAAAAATTATAACATAATGTATTAATATAATAGTTAAATAATTAAATATTAATAATAATAAATAAGAATATGAAAATTATATTAACATAATATTATTATTTTATTTTTAAATTTTAATTTGTTTAGTTTTTATTATGTTATGTTTTCATTCAAAAATTAAACTGCTTCTCAACTTGTTTAAAAATAAAAAATATAATAGTTTATTATTAAATAAATTATTATTTAAATAAATGTATAAATATTTTTAGTTTTAATATAATATAATTTTTATTTATTACAAATAAAATGAATTATAACATAATATAATAATTAAATAATTTAATATCAATAATATTAAAATTAAGAATATAAATAACTTATTAATATAATATTATTATTTCATTTTTAAATTTTAATTTATTTAATTTTAATTGCATTCTAATTTTGTTCAAAAACTTAATAGCTCTTCAACTATTTTAATTATAATAAATATAATAATTAATTATTAAATAAATTTATTATTTAAATACATGTTTAAATATTATTTATTAGAATTTTTTATGTACCGTACTCTGAAACTTTTCAAGGGTATCAAATAATTTTTACCTATCTTGAATATAGTAACCATACTATTTAAACATAAATAAATCTGTAATTATTAAAATTTATTAAATAATATCAAAACATACAAGAATTGATAAAATTTATTAAAATAATTATTAAATAATATTTTATAAAATGTTATTTTATCATTTAGTTTTTGTTTAATTAAAAATATTTATTGTTAATTCTTAATTAAGATCATAAATTATTAATGCACCATATTAAATTTAATTAAAAAGTTAACCAAATATAAAAGTTAAATTTATTTTAATTTTATAATATTTTTAATATAATTATATTTAATATTATTTTTATGATAAAATTTTAATATAGTGAATAAATATTTTTTACTTTTAAAATTAATTTTTATATTCAAAAAATAATTTTTAATTTATTTAAATATTATAAATAAATAATATAATAGTTATTAATTACTTTTAGAAATAGGTAGATTGCCCCACCCCTAACCCACCATTTTGTTTATAGTGTGAATTAGGGTCAAAACTAACCCACTAACTATAGGGTTTTAAAAAAATAGGACTATATAAGAAGTTAAGTGGAAGTAAGACATATGATTTTAATCCATTTTGACAGTTTTATTTTTAAATAATAATAATATTATTTGTATATATATAGACCATGTTTGTTAAGCTTAACAGACTTTGTAAACAGCTTAGGCTTGACTTATTTATTTAATCAAACTTATAAAAAAAAAAGATCAAGTTTTATTTGTAAACAGCATAGGCTTGACTTATTTACTTAATCAGACTTATATATATATATATAAAAGACCAAATCTTATTTGTTTATTAAAAAAGACAAACCTAAAGCAAACTAAGCCATAAACTCCTGTTATGTTAAGCTGTTTGACCTATTTTCATCCATATTCTTAACCCCGAAGAATAGCAATTATTTTATCAAGATTTTTATGAGAATGGAAATTTTTTCCTTTGCGAATTAAACCCAAACCAACTTATTATACATTAATTGCAGAGATGTCTTACCACTCACTTCAATTAAGTTTAAAATAACCATGCAATGCATTAAGCAGCTATTATAACTAGCTAACTATCATGAAATTAAAGAGAATCAATCTTAATATAAACATATCTAGCCTTTTTTCTAACTAACTAACATTTAACATATCAATACTATTATTAGTTATTGAACATGAATAATTTTTTTTTAAATCGCATATATCTTTTATTGAAAATAATCTTTTAGAGTTAAAGAAAATTACTCTAAATAAAAAAGGTAAGTATTTAACACATTTGCGTTGATTAATATTCAAACTTGAATTCACAAAGTAAACTTAATCGACTTCCTATCAATTTATGTGGATGATATAGAAAACATATAATAATTATAACTCCTTTTTAATAAAATAAAGCCCTTGCATACCATTTAAATTAGTTTATACTCCATTGCAATAGTATAATTAAACATTGGACAAGCAAAATACTATAATCCGTTACAATCAGCTTTGGGTAACTCTATCAAATAGAAGGAAATTATAATTGATTTTAAATTTAGTGGATGTTTAATAACGTAAAATAATGGTTTATTATTTAAAAGTTTTTAAGATAGTTTTTAAAATAATCAAAATTAAGCATGCAATTAATTAACAGGTCTCACACATTTGCAAAGGCAAGTTGGATGACATCCATTTTGCTTGATTCTTCTGCATTTTTGACACCTCTACATGAGAAAAAGAAAAAGGTTTCTACACACTAAGGCTTCTCTTACTTTATTAAGCACTATTTAAATTTAACAAATTAAATCACGATATTCATAATAATTAGAAACATTATCTGAGCGACAATATTCTCATAACTCAATTGAAAACTCTTTTATTATTTTTTAATTAGTACACTTGGCATCAAATACTAACTAATTTAATCGAAGTCTCAGTATAATTAAATAGTTATTTGAGAAGCCTTAGCAGTCCTGACTTCTCTAGGTAAACTTGTAAGTATGAAGCTTATTTTTTCAAGCAATTATACATAATTTAAGAGGTTAAAATTTAAGAATTAAGATATAAATATAGGCCTATCAACCAAGATAGAACTATTTTTATTAAAAATAATATTAAGAAGAAAAAGTCAACACACACAAAACCACAAATGCATATTGTAAAGCGATGCCAAATTCTATATATCATGCACCTATAATATTCTTAATATTGCTTTTAGAATTTTCAACCTAATTTTTCCACCTCTACAAATTCCAAAAGGTATAATTAAATAAGCAAATAGAACTAGTTATGTTACCAACATCGAACATATTTTCAAGAGCATAAAAAATGAATAATCAAGTGTTCAGAAGACTATTTTCCAACTACAAGCCGACTATTATTCTAAAAAAAGGTATTCCATTATTTTGCTACATTTTTTAGGTTGGAAAAGACAGTTTCCAAACAATAGTAAATGAAAAATGGGAACAATGCAGATAGAACCAAATGAAAATAAAAAAATGTAATTGCAGAAAAACAAGCTTACCTACTAAATTTCTTGAATATTGGGACTGTAAACATCTTGGGCATACCATGTGACTATTCTCTAGGCCTACATTTTTGTTATCAAATAATTATTTTAAAAAATATACTTACGTAAATTTTTTAATTATACCATGTGACTTTTTCTATTAAGTGTTTATTTTTTAATTAATTTAAAATTTGATGTTTTTATCATTTAATTTCT